TACATTATTCTTATATAATTAAATATTTATACATGTATTTTTATATAGTCTTAAAGTTACAACCGGCCCTTTGAGTGCGACCATAATGCTAATGTGGCCCGTGATGAAATGAGTTTGACACCCCTGCTATAGAATGACACATTTAGATGTATTGGGCTGGGCATGAAGAAAACTGCTGTGTTTTAAATTGATTTAAAAAATGTTGCTCTTAGAAAACTCCGGTATTTAATGTCCAGCTTGAGACTTGTCTGTTTTTTTATTTTTCATGTGTCAATATTTTAAGGATGTTAATTATTAAATGCTATACGCTCGGGTACAGTGCAGCCATGTTCTTCAGAAAACACTTTCCCTTGTAAATAACTTTGCTAAATAAAGCTTATGAATTCAATTATGTACTGTAATGGAGACAAAAAAGAAGGCGAATGCCAGGTGTCGATTTCCTCACTGAACTCCAAATACAAAATGAAGCCTTTACTAGAAAGGAGCAATATATTAATAACGTCTGCAAATACAATTTTTGGTTTTATGGTAAAAATGGTGGACTGTAGAATATACCTAGGTGTATATGATGAAACAATAAATCGATTAAACGTGTTTCCATTCCTGTATCTTCTTGCTAGCTAGGGTGATCATGAATGTACATCAGGTATATGGGCCATTCTATCGAATTGGTGCAAAGTCAGGTTGGAACAGTTTTGAAATGTTGTATGTTTTCCCCCCAAAACTTTGTCCATATATATTTTGTACCATATCTAAATTACACATATCTAGTAAAAGAACCGTACATTTTTATATCGTATTTTCCGACTGTATTGGAATGTTCTTACCGAAACATACACTATAGTAAAAAAGTATTATATTAACCTGTTAAGATTGTTTTACCTTCCCTTCTCTAAATAGTATTTTAACAAATATTTCTCTCAGGGTTTTCACAATTAAATTAATAAAAGTGAATTTGTAATCAAATTTCAAAGTTCAATTTATACAATTCATAAAAATCATAATGCAAACTTTCTTTGTAAAATGCACAATACTGATCATATTGATTCCAGAGTTGATGATTGTTGAAATTGAACATACATTAAACCAATAAGTATCATTATCATTTTTAGTTGATTTAGCTGCAGCCTGAACAATGATTACTTTTACTTTGTACACTTTAAATACATGTATATGATAATACTTTTGTACTTTTACTTAAGATATTGGAATACAGGACTTGTACCTGTAATGAAGTATTTTGACAATATTGTATTGGTACTTTTACTCAACTAAAGCATCTGAATACTCCACCACTGATTATTATACATCACATTAATAGATTGTAGGCCTTTAGATAAAGATAGTTTAGTCCAGTCACAGTGGTTGTCTATTCAGGGGTCAGGCCCCCTCAAAACATTTACTTCATACACATAAGGGGAAACAAGGTCACAAATGATTAAATCCCACAAATCTTTCACTTGCATTGCTTTGACTGCTGCTGTCAGTGCTGGTGACCACGTGGTTTAATGAGATGATCAGCTGACTCTGCCAGAGGAGGAAGAGGGATGAAGATGGAAGGAAACAGAGACGAAGCTGAAAAATGTATTAATATAGCGACCAAATCCCTTAACGTCGGAGATAAAGAGAAAGCGTTGAAGTTTCTCAACAAAGCAGAGAAGCTTTATCCAACTACCAGAGCAAAAGGTAGGAGTGGATGATCGTCCGGGGCTAAGCTAATGACCAAGGGCTAGCTAGTAAAGCTGACGTGTGTTAACATCAGTAACGGTTTAGGCTTATAACAGGTCACCTACTTAGTATTGTATACCCAATACCTGTAAGATAAATTAATGGTAAACTAGAATAAACTATGCCTTTTAAGACGGTGAAATGGAGAAAAACACGTCGAGTTAGCGTTAGCTTAGTTGTGGGCCTAGCGATGTGAAGGCTAACCTTGCTAGCGCTGTTAATTGGGGTTATATATGGGGAAATATGGTGAATAAGCCTGTATTTATTGGAGCTAAAAGACAATCACTGTTAAATAACCACTAAGGCTAATGGTTATACAATCCCAGATCGAGCCATCCTTGACTCAGTGGTTGAAGCTAGCTGTCATTCATTGCAGTGTCTTGAATACTAGCTGACCTTTAAAGCATTTTGTATAGCTGTCATTTCATTTTCACTTGAAGTAATTCGGCCGGTGTTGCATATGCTGTGGTGTAAAGGTTGTAGGCTCGTAAAGATTTGGGTGCAGGATAGACAAGTGGAGCATGGAGAGAGATGGAATCACGGCCAGGACTACATGCTAATGCTAGTCAGCCGACTGCCAATCCTTTAATTGAACGATTGACCCGAAATGTAGGCTAATCCCGGACACACCACTGTCAGCGACAAAACCCGTAAACAAGGGTTATGTACAGTACGGATGGCACTGACAAAGGTGTAACAAACATTAACAACTTAGTTCTTTACTATGTTGTGTTTTGAGTGACTGTTCAATAGGGTAGATAATCATGAACATGGTTGATATGGAGCTCCTGTGTTGTAAATGTATAATGCGTCAGTTAAATGTCCAACCGTCACCTTTGTCTGCAATAGTATGAATCTGCACCAATGACAGCTCCGAAGCTAAGCTAATGGATAACTAGCTGTCCAAGGCTGGACCTTGAAAAAAACGCAATAACACTCAATAGCACACATATGGCCACGGATGAGCAAATCCTCAAGGACTTTTACTTTCCACATGTGCTCTAAATGTAAAGTGAAGTGCATCACAAGCATGTTTGATAACACAAGATGTCCAAAATAAAATAGCCTGACATTAACATAAGTTGTAAACAAAAAGGCCGAAACAGGATGGGGTATACTGTGGCTGAAGCTTAATTAAATGTGCATATATAGGGATATACCTACAGTTAGGTGTGTATTGAATAGATCATTAAAGTAAGGGGACTGTGTGGGTACCCTAGTAATTACTCATTCTTTGTTTTTGTGCTGCAAACAGACACACCGACCTGTTATGGCAAAATAACATTGTTGGTTTAAGTAATCATCAAGACAAAAACCTTAGCTATTTTATAATAAAGGATAACTGCTTGGCACCTCTGGCACTAAAAGTCTGTGAGTCTCAGAGAGGGTTTACATGTGCATCCATCTGTTATTGAGTGACATGGGGGTCACATCTTTGTGTTGCAATCCATGGCAACCCATGTAAAGAGTTGATTGATAAAAGGCAGGTTAACACAGCACCTGTAGTCCCACATTCCTCATGGCAGTTTAGATCAGGGCAGCCGTACACAGGCACGAAGCATTTTCATATTTGTCATACTGTCTTTGGGTTATCTGGCATCAGTAAGCTGGTTATCGGCTCGGTTTACTAAACAGTTTTCTGTTTTTGCGTCACCTACAAAAATAACAATTCAGCATGAGAAAAGCTATAGAATTTGTATCACAAAAATACAATGACATTGTTGTCAATCTCAAGATGTTAAGTAGCCCGTAGTGCTATGGGAAGGAAGGATGGATTAGTTGTGAAAAAGGCAGCAGTTGTGAGCTTATGTTACACGTGACTGGGTGCATAATGATGAATAATGCATTGGCAAACAATAAGCAACATTATAACAGTGAAAAGCATTTGGGAGACACATCATTAGGATGTTGATGTGCTGTCTTTGAGTTTGTATCTCTCCATCACCATTACCATATATCTTACATGGATAATCAAGGCCTCTGTGACATTGTGAATTAAATACAGGATAGATTTCAAATTGGCATTCTTCATGAATTGAAAGTCTTCTCCATACCTTGCATTAAGGTACAGTGGACATATTTGATATTAAAACTAAACTATTAAACTCATCTCAATGAGTCTCCCTAGGGCGGTTCGTTTAGTTTGTATGTCTAGGAGGTGTCAAAGGGATCCCATCGAGGCCTGCAGTGTAGCTCATCTGTAAAATGTCATTTTATTGATCATGAAGTGATGTTCACTTGGCTTCCTGCTGTTTGAAAATTATCAACTGGATTTCAATGATTTTGGAGACAAAGCTGTGTCTGCAAACAGTAGGCACTGTACGCTAGGTCACCGTTGTTACATTTAAAGGTCAAACCTGTGATTGTTGTACGACAATGCTTCTCCTTTCCGGTTTATTTATTGTGATAACATTTGGAAATCTGTAATGTGCGAGGAGGATGACACTTTTAGTCATTGGAAGATGTGATTTGATAAGCTGCTGGACAGAAGCTCTATGGCACGCACTGTCTGTCGGTCAGTTCACAAAAATTCCCCCTTGGTGGCAGACATGTGTCATGGATGTCATGTGTTTGTGACGTGTGTGAACTGTGAATTCATTAATACCATTGCAAATTTGCGCTTTTTAAACCTTTTTTGATCACTTAATTGACTTCAGTGGTCATTCTTCTGTTTATAAGTGAACTGTATGATTGAATGAAATACATTTTGTCATGTGTAAAGTACAGGAAGAATGGCAGCTTTGGAATGTTAAATCTGGCCCACTGATAATCATCATGCCCTTTGTTCTGCACCCCAATAGTCACATGGGATCGGTCCTCAACATTGAGCTTTAGTAAGACTGTTAGTTTAAATGTAGTCACATCTTCTCTCTTTGTGCACTCGTAAGCTTCTTTGTTGAGTGATTGAATCCAGTATTTGTTCATTTATTCTGATTTAAATCGAGAGCTATCTGATCTGGCCTTTTTACTAAATGACAACAGTACAACATTGAATGTCATCTTACTAAGTTAGGGCTAATTGAAAATACTTAAATTGTTAGTAACTGTAGTACTGTAGTTTCTGCACAATGCTGCATGCAAAAAATAGGTTATATAAAACAGTTTTGTATCAAAATTGTTCTCAAAAGCTTTGACCCTTGTAAGATACTGAAGCTTATACTGTTATTTATTTAATCTTAAGCCTCTTCCTCTCTTTTTCAGCTTTGTTGGACGCATTAACTAAGAATGGGAGCTCAGCAGGTAACGGTGCATTTCGCAGGAGGACAGCAGACGGCTCAGAAAGCACCGGAGCTCAGCCGGAGAGGGACGGCCAAGAGTCCGGAGGAGGAGACCTTAAAGCCTTCACCAAAGAGCAGGTGGAAGGTGTGCAAAAGTGAGGATTTTAAGATTTACTTCCCTTTCATGCTATACTACTTTTCCCACCGATATGCTGTTATCTATCCTCTTCCTATTTTGGTGCTTTCCTACCATTCGCCCTGTGTCGGCAGTACTGTTTCTATCATGCTGAGTTAGACCTGTCATCCGTGGCTGCAGGAGGATACTGTAGTCTCTGCAGTGTTGTGCACACACAGCTAATTGTCATGGGAACCCATCAGCCAATGAGAGGATGAAGTGAGAGACATTTAGCACTGTGAACTAGATTACAGGTAACCATTACATGCTCAAATGTTAGACCATGAGATCGGACTAGACAGAGACAGGTGCACATTTTACCCACAGCCTTTGATTAGATCTTAGAAAGCTGCAGTGTAATGCACCTTTTTAAACTTATGCAATCACTGTAATCTCTCGTGTTTTATACTAAATCCTTTGGGAAATCTTCATGGTTTAAAAATGGCATCATGTCTTCTAAGAAAGACAGGTTGTGTTCAAAAACGTCTCCCTTGTGACCTCATTAGTGGTCTCACTCCATGATTCAGCGATAGTCGAATAGATGATATATTAACATTGCCGACTTGTATTATTTGATGAGTGTCCAAATGAAGGATCTAGCAAATGATACAAACTATTTGATTTTTTGTTCTGTTTTAACACATGTGAATAGTTTTATCTGATAACAGCTGAATAATTGTGTTTATTATTTCTACTATAGGCAGTTGTTCAATTGTGTGATTGATTTCATGCATGATTGACGTTCATGGAAAGATCATTTAACACAAAGATAACCTCTCGAGAATGGTAGAAAACGATCCACTGGATTCAGCTTCTTCACTCTCTGTCAATCTCTTTCAGAATAAAGCGGTGTAAGGACTACTATGAAGTGCTGGGTGTCAATAAAGAAGTCAATGAGGATGAGCTAAAGAAGGCCTACAGGAAACTAGCGCTCAAGTTCCATCCAGACAAAAACCATGCACCTGGAGCGACAGAGGCCTTTAAAAGTAAATCATTCTCTTTTCCTGATCTATTCTAATCTTTGTGAAATCTAGCTTGTGTGGGATATACAAATATTATCTAATCATTTGATTACAACACCTACAAACGTGTCCATAACTTTCCCTCCTTCATTCTGGAATGTGTCCTATTCTAGAGATTGGTAATTCATACGCAGTGCTCAGTAACCCAGACAAACGACGGCAGTACGACCTGACGGGAGGAGAGGAGCCCAGCAGCCCGGGTAACTCTCATGGAGGAGGGGGAGGGGGGGGCTTCGACTTCCACCGGGGCTTCGAGGCCGACATCACTCCTGAGGACCTCTTCAACATGTTCTTTGGAGGTGGCTTCCCCTCCTGTAAGTCAGCACTTAACACATCGAATCAAGTTGTGATTAATCCAAATATATCGATTTTTTTATTCATTAAGTTTTCTGACATCACATGCTCTTATTGTAGTAGGTAATAGGACTTATTTTTAAAAGTGAAATTGCTATCTCAAATACCCCTTTCACACCAAGGCTTTTCCCTTTTTCTGGTTCGGAACTGGTTCTTTGGTTCAGCTCCCGCTCTGTTCACACTGCTCAGAGCCCGACTGGTGCTGCGTCATTGCGTCATGACGTAACCGTTTGCGTGCCTGCTTCATAAAGCCAAACCGCGCGGAAACCCCTCACATCGACAACAACAACAATGGCCGATTGTATTGAAGCGCTAGTCGTGTTGCTCTGTCAAAATGAAATGGAAGAAATGGGACGACTTTACTTCCAACTTTACAGTCGTTACATGCTACATTCAAAAGTTCTTACACAGTTACACAGTGGGCCAAAATAAAAAAATCGGTACTAGTCGAGGGCCGGACTGGTTCAATGTTTATTGCAAAACGTATTGAAATGAACTTATTAAACCTGGAACTAACAAAGCTTAAATTCTGCTGACACTAGGTGGGGCACAGCCCCACCTAGTGTCAGCAGAAAGTATTACAAATAATGATTACAAAAAAATGCAACAAATAAATTAAAGAATATACAAAATATATTCTAAGATCATGTTTAATCATCTGATTCGTCTCATTGCTGTTTTAGTCTGTGTTCTTCTAATTAGTGTCTACAGTGTGTGCCTATTGAGCTGTTTAGAGCCATGTGGGACAAAACCCGATCATGCCCTCCCTCTCACTGTCTAAGTGAGCGGTGACTGTAAAAACTACACTGCGCATGCTCAGAGTATTGTCCTATTTAATGTGTGTGGCAAAAAAATAATGCCCATAGGGGCAGAGAGTTGCCATCCCCACCACACGTCATCTCACATCATTCAGAGCTGATTGGCTGTAAGTATGTGAGCCGCGAAAAGTGTGGTGTGTGAAGAGGAGGAGAGAGACGCGTCCCAAAACCAG